AGCGTGTTCCTGTTTCTGAATTTGGACTGTTTTGACTTTGCTGCTTCTCCTTCCCACTGACCTCGCTTGCCTCACTACGATTATCATCTTTCTGTTCCAGTCTCCCATCTCTGCTTAAGACCAGAAGGCCACTCAAGGCTCAGGGGCTCAACCACCTGGGTAACGAGTGGCTACCTCTGGCAGAAAACATTGCTGATCTGGCTACTGGACTCCAAAACTTTGTAACATCAATATCATTACAATGATTTAGGTAAACTAGAAAAATGGTCAGAATTGTGGCAACTGACATTTAATGTGGATAAGTGTAAGATAATGCATCTTGGACGTAAAAACCCAAGGGCAGAGTACAGAATATTTGATAGTGTCCTAACCTCAACATATGAGGAAAGGGATTTAGGGGTGATTATTTCTGATGACTTAAATGTAGGCAGACAATGTAATAGAGCAGCAGGAAATGCTAGCAGAATGCTTGGTTGTATAGGGAGAGGTATAAGCAGTAGAAAGAGGGAAGTGCTCATGCCATTGTACAGAACACTGGTGAGACCTCACTTGGAGTATTGTACACAGTACTGGAGACCGTATCTTCAGAAGGATATTGATACCTTAGAGAGGGTTCAGAGAAGGGCTATTAAACTGGTTCATGGATTGCGGGATAAAACTTACCAGGAAAGGTTAAAGGATCTTAACATGTATAGCTTGGAGGAAAGACGAGACAGGGGGGATATGATAGAAACATTTAAATATATAAAGGGAATCAACACAGTAAAGGAGGAGACTATATTTAAAAGAAGAAAAACTACCACAACAAGAGGACATAGTGTTAAATTAGAGGGACAAAGGTTTAAAAATAATATCAGGAAGTATTACTTTACTGAGAGGGTAGTGGATGCATGGAATAGCCTTCCAGCTGAAGTGGTAAAGGTTAACACAGTAAAGGAGTTTAAGCATGCGTGGGATAGGCATAAGGCTATCCTAACTATAAGATAAGACTAGGGACTAATGAAAGTATTTAGAAAATTGGGCAGACTAGATGGGCCGAATGGTTCTTATCTGCCGTCACATTCTATGTTTCTATGTTTCTATGTTTCTATTACACGCCTCCTCTCTACCTGGGAGATATTGAGATAAGTTAAGGAATAAACCAATTATCTCCAGGCAGAGAGCACACAATTTCCCCAAAACTTAGAACACCCCTTTCCCCACAAGGTATCCCCACAAATTACATATCCACTGATAGCCCCGATCTGGGGGACAAACATAACCAAATTTCACCCAGATCGGTTCAGGGGTTCTGAAAAAGTGTGGAGGGTCCCTTTTACCGACCACACACGCGGCTCCTGCCCAAAACAGTTCCACGAATTCAGCGTGTGCGGTCGGTCAATGCACAAAAACGCAAAAAACAAATAAAAGTTCTGAATGGATTCCCCTGGTCCATAGTAGCGATTGCTCTCCTTGTCCGTTCGCACAGAACTACCGAGTGAGGCTTTCCTGGCTGTTCGGGAAGTATGAGAAGCCGGCGTTCGGTAGTTTCTCCTTGTGTGAACAAGATGGCCGCCATTTTCTTAACCACGTGGCGTTCGGTTATACGAACAGCTGCCGCCCAGGGAGCACTTAATAGCTAGTTGTCTTTGAAGTAAATGAGCCAGGAGGGTGGTCGGTGTTCTGTAGTTTCAAACTACCGAACCAATCCATTCAATATACAAGTATTCACATGTAAAAATACCGAATAAAAAGGGAGAAAATAACAGGCAAAAGTCTATTTTCTTCACACCCCCCTCTGTCGGCCATTACGCCCCGCCCCCGCTGCCGTTATTTTCATCACTTTTTTTATATAGACCGGGTGGACAATAATTAATCCTCCACCTGGGTACCTATTTTAGCTCCCCTGACACCGGCCATGTGCGAGTTGTGTCGGCCACAGGGCACCCCCTGCTCCATTGCACCCTGTGCGGCTGCACAGCTCGCACACCCCTAAGGCCAGCCCTGGTTTCCTAAATTGAAGTGTACTAAGTTTAACACTGTGTTTCAAAGCAGTTTAAAGAAACTAGGAGTGTGAAGGGGGGAATGGAAAGTGAAAAGAGAGACAAGAGAAAGAGGGCGAGAGGAAAATATATAATAAATATAATTTGTAATGTATAAATAATGTCAAATTTTATGTCAAATATCAAATGTCAAATATCTTTAGTAGCTGGAGCCATCTGGATACAGAGCAGTTCAGGGCCTGTGTTGTTACAGTATGTGATTCTTCTGAACACGGTATTAATCGGTTGATGTGAACACGCAGGTCAAGAGCACCAACTGGTTGAAATAGCCAATCAATCTTAGTTGATATATGAACAAGTCCTCATATTTCAAATACAAAAAGTGTTCTGTGCTGTAAGGCGCTTATACAGTGAAGTATAACAAGAATAGAACAAACTATGTAGTAGCTGCTACTACACACATGCCAGTTCCCTCAAACTGCACACACAAACATGCAAGAAAATATTAAGTGTACTAAGTGGTATCTACCCACTCACGTAAACCCAGTGGAGTGCTATACATAAACATACACTTAATTAATGCATGGGTTAGTGTATATTTATATACAGTGATCCCTCAGTCTTTACAGGTATTTACTAAGATAGTTGTTTTCAAGAAGCCTCGTAAAATATACCACTCTGTTAGTGTATTCTGTATTATGTATAGGTTTTGGTCTTTCTAGTAGCACTAGAATTTCTAGCAACACTACCCTTTTTCATATTAAGTAACTTTGACTGCATTTACACATCTGGAGATTTTACTCACATAAATTCATCATGAGAACTTCTGTAATTTATGTAGTGCTATTTGAGTCAAACTTTCCTTGGTCAGTAGCAGAGAATGGATTGTAAATAGTTATTGTGCATGGCTCACAACACTGTTAATTGGGACAGTTGGGCAGGACTTCAGGGGTAAGGGCCATAAAAGGTAGGCCTCCTTGGGAAGTGTGTCTCACTGCCCGCTAAAGGTGGTTGATAGACTAAATGTTAGTCTATCAACCACCCCCATGCAGAAGGCACTGGTAAGGAACCTTTTGTATGGTCCTAGGGATGGTGCACAGCACAAGCAAGTCTAATGAGGCACCCACATTGTATCCCCAGAAGTTGACATCAGGTAAGTAAATCGGAACAGCAGGAGAGGGCTCCAAATTACAGATTCTTCTGCTAAAATCAGACAGTTGAAAGCTCTGATTGTTAAGTGCCGCCTACAAAATATTGCTAGTGGTTATGGGGTGTTAGGAGTGCTCTGGTTCCCTCTAATATACAGTGAGAGCCACTTCCTGCCTCATGGCAGCCAACAAGACAGCTGGAAGCACTTTGTTAGAGCTAAATCTGGCAATGTCAACTTACTTTGTGGGGTACCAGAGCACCCATGGCACCATAACCCCTGCAGTAGTATTCCTTTCAATTTCACTGAAAAGTCTTAACTAAAATATTGTCCTTGTCTCCACATAAATATACCGCATTTGCTCAATTATGAGATAAGGTTTCAGAAAAAAACTTCTGGAAAAAAAAAATGTCCTATAATCAAAATCTTAAATGAGAGGTAATTGATGGAAGGTAGGTGTGATTGTTCTTGACTTTGCAGACTTTCTAATTGATATGCTGTTGGTAGCAATCTATTTCCAGTGACCTGGTAACTGTTCAACTGCCGGAGAGGGCGAAGCTGTAGAGTAATGTGTAGATGCTCACTACTGTGATCTCCTGCTCACTCTGTAGCAGATCTGGGTGCAGATCTGGGTGTGATAGTTAGTTATAACGTATCCAAGGGTGGCAGAGTAGGAGATTGTCTGACAGGCTGTCCAACTGCCTAATCCAGCTATCTAGACCACAGAAAAAAGGTAGGAAAGAGGAGGGTGGTTTAAAATGTGTAAATTTTACTTGTATGTGTGTCTATATGTGTATGTGTGTATGTGCATCTATGTATTTATCCGTGTGTCTTTATATGTCTGTGTATCTTTTTATCTGTGTGTCTATGTGCATATGTGTGTCTGTCTGTGGGCATATGTGTCTGTGTATCTGTGTGTGTGTCTGTATGTGTTTGTGCATCTAACTGTGTGTCTGTGTGTGTGCATATGTGTATCTGTTCATCTGCGTATCTGCATGTGTGTCTTTATGTCTGACTATGTGCCTGTGTACTTATATGTGTGTGTCTATGTGTACTGTGTGTCTGTATGTGTGCATGTGTGTGTATATGTGTGACTGTGTATCTGCATGTGTGTGTCATTCTGTGTGACTGTGTATCTGCATGAGTGCCATTAGGTGTCACTTTGTATCTGCATGTGTGTCGGTGTGTGTCTGTGTATCTGTATTTGTTAGTGTGTATTTGATTTTTTTTTTCCCCATAGGGTAGTCATATATTCAGGCCATTTCTTTTTTTTCCAACAAGATCTGAAATTTGGGGAGTAGGGGGTCTTAATAATCAGGGCGTAATTATAGCCCCACAAAATAAGTTGCACTCATTTTAGATAGTAATTAAAAAACTAAGTCTTTATCAATGCTATTACATTTTACGTCAAACATAAATAATGATTTCAGATACTCCTGTTTATTAAAGGGTATAGATTAATTTTCTTTAGAGCTTCTCTAATGTCATTGTTCCTAAGGCTGTATATTATTGGATTAAGCATTGGGGTCACCACTGTAAAAAACATAGACAGTATTTTACTTGTCAACAATGATCTTTCATTATTTGGAACAGTGTAAATACTAATGAGAGTCCCGTAGTATATGGAAACAACAGTCAGATGGGAGCTGCAGGTAGAGAAGGCTTTCTTTTTCCCACTAATTGATGGGATTTTAGCAATAGTGAGAGCAATATATATATATGACACCATTACCATTAAAAAAGGTGTAATAAGTACAATGACACAAATGAAGAGAACTTCTATATGTATTGTTAAGGTATCAGAACATGAAAGCTTCAAGAGTGGATCAAGATCACAAAAGAAATGATCAATGATGTTAGGTCCACAAAATGTCAGCTGAGTTATTGTTACTGCACTAATTAGTGCTATAAAAAAGCCTAATACCCAACATATAACTATTAATTTAATACAAAATGCATGGTCCATTATAGAGGTATACTGCAGGGGGTTATAGATGGCCAGATATCGGTCATAAGACATCACTGTTAACAGTAAACATTCTAAGGATTCCAAAGCACCGAAGAAGTAGTACTGAGTTATACACACTTTAAGAGATATAATACCTCCCTCATAATGGACAATAGAAAGCATATGAGGTGCAATACATGTTGTCAACAAAATATCTGATATGGACATTTGAGTAAGAAAGAAATACATGGGATAATGAAGGTGTCTGCAACATGACACCAACACAATGATGAGGATATTTCCAAATATTGTCAGACAATAAACAACAAGAATTATAGAAAATAATAAATGTCTCATGCTGTGAAGGTGATGGAATCCCAGTAGAATTATCTCTGTGACCAATGTGTTATTCTCCATATCTATTGTCTGTAGGTAAAAGAAGAATATTTTATATAATACAGTTTGAGCAGAAGATTAGACCATTATTTACAATGTGATAGAAGTACAGCCTAGGTAAACTCAAGACAGGGGGGTAACCCCTAGTGAAAATGCATGTCAAAAGAAAATAGAGAGAGTACCTATCAATACAGAACAAAGAAAGAAAGGAAACTGTCACTAAATATAAACTGTACAAATAAAGTACCTATTATGATGAAGCAAATGTAAAATAAAAATAACAAATAACTTTATTAAGTGTACATATTAAAAAGAAAGAATGAAACACTAATAAGCTAATAAAATAAAACAAAACGATATCCCAAAGTGAAAGGATATTACTGGTGTCTCGGATTGCAAAAATACTACACTGCACACGTCTGTGCAGAGTAAAAAGAGGAGAGGAGAGAAGGGGGGAGGGCGAAGGAGAGGACGTCTAAAGTAATGATAGGGTAACTAAAGGAGCTAATCCAAATATATGGGTATAGCTGCAAGGGGCTAATTATTAGAAAAAATGTGTGAATATGAGTGAAAGAGAGAGATTTGTATGTCCAGATCGATAATAGACAAAAAGAGCTGAATAGCTATATCGTAGGAAAAAATCAGAATGCAAAGAGACACTGAAGATAGAGTGCCCGATGACAGTAAATAAAGTGTTAACTAGAGGATATCCGATATCAGGCGGCTAATGTCTGCATAAAAATCTAAGAGAACAGTGATGGTCCTAATAATACACGGCTGAGCTGTAATAAAACTATTGCTACAGAATTGGAATGCAGCGTCTCGTCCTGCATACAGCGCCAAAACTAACGTTGTTGAAATAGTCAGCAATATATAGTGAGCACCGATGTTAGCAAATAGATACAAAGTTATCAAGTAATAGATACTAACAGCTGTGAAGTACTGGATAGTCCATAGTAGCGTTTGCTAAATGGTAATGAGTTATTATCACTGCTGGATGAACAGGATTCTATAGCTCCACTTACCAACTTACAACCAGAGAGTTGGTTTACTCCAAACTTAAGTGAAGTGTCGAGCGTCGATTTATTCATCCAAATGACCACTACAGCTATTGAACCTCTTCCTATTTCCAGAACTAGACATGACAATCTGACTATACCTCAGCGACGAGCCTTAAAAGAATTAACTACAGCTGTTGAAGTTGTAATTAAACCCTCTGATAAAGGGGGCAACGTGGTTTTGATGGATAGAGATCAATATTTGGAAATGTGTATGGAACATCTTGAGGACGTACAAGCTTATCAGAAACTTTCTATTGACCCCACGCCACAATTCCTTAATGAGTTAAAGTCTATTCTAACACCAGCATTAACCAGTGGAACAATAACACAAGATGAATACAAATGTATTTTACCTAATCTCACTCCAACTATCGCTACCCTATACTGCCTCCCTAAAGTACATAAAAATATCTCTAAACCACCAGGCCGACCTATTGTGTCGGGGAATGGTTCCATCACTGAGCGCAGTAGTAAATTTCTTGAGAAACTTTTACATCCAATCGCAGTTGGCCTTCCGTCGTATCTTCAAGATACTAAGCAGACTCTTATCCTATTAGAAAATCTAATTGTACCACCCTACTGCCTGTTGGGCAGCATGGATGTAGTGTCACTCTATAATAACATCCCACATGAGACTGGCCTTGAGGCAGTCAGATATTTCCTTCTAAAATCTCAAAAATTCTCCATCACCCAGAGTACCTTCAATATCCAGCTCTTAGAGTTTGTGTTGACACATAACTTCTTCGTATTTAATGGCATTCATTATCTCCAACTGAGGGGTACAGCGATGGGCACGGCTTGTGCCCCAAGTTATGCCAATATCTATCTGGGCTGGTGGGAAGAAACTATTCTTGGCCCCATCATCAAGGATAAGTATCATAATTGCGTCCTTAGTTGGCACAGATACATCGATGATGTGTTGGTATTCTGGTTGGGATCTGTTAAACAGTTTGAGGAATTGGTCGATCAATTGAATAACAACTCAATTGGCCTTCAATTGACATACGTCATTGACACGGAACATCTAATTTTCCTTGACCTCAATATTAAGATTTCACCAGACGGCACGATTGAAACTGAACTCTATCGAAAACCAACTGCAACAAACAGTTTACTTAGTTGGGACAGTCACCACCCGCTCAAATTAAAATCTGGTATTCCCTATGGACAATACCTTAGGGCAAAACTTAACTGTTCTAATGAGGAGACATTTCAGTCTGAAGCCAAAACATTACGAACAATGTTTAAACAGAAAGGATATCCTAACAGAATATTAAAACGAGCATATCAACAAGCAGCTGCTAAAAATAGGAGTGAGAGCCTACATGCCACCAGATCTACTTCAGATCCCCAGACCATTAGATGCATTGGCACCTTTGACCAGCTCTGGGAACCTGTTCTTACTATTATGTCTCAAAATTGGCCGATCTTGAATTATGACAAAGATCTGAGGGATAATATTAGTAAATTTCCTAATATCACGGCACGTAGGGCTAGAAATCTACGTGATCATCTTGTGCACAGTCATACAAAACCAATTCGTAACTCAACTTGGTTAACCCCGGTGGCAGGTGTGTATCAATGCGGGCATTGTAAAGCTTGCAAACACATTAAACCTTCGAAAGTTATCCAAAGTACACACACAGGGAAGGAATATCCAATAAAACAATTTATCAACTGCAATTCTACAAAAGTTATTTATCTTATAACTTGCAGTTGTAAAGTACAATATATTGGTAAAACATATCAACAGTTTTAGGAGGCGAATTCTTCAACACATATGTTCCATTTCCAATATCAATATCTCTACCCCTCTATCAAACCACGTTAGGGTTCACCATAATGGAGACCCCACTAATCTAACTTTTCAAGCTATTGAAAGATTAACATTGAATTCCCGTAAAGACAATTACAACAGAATGCTGCTAATGAAAGAATCGAGATGGATTTATCATTTCAAGACTCTTTTTCCTAATAGTCTTAATGAGGAGTTTAATTTTACTCCATTTATTCATAAATAATCTTGTTCTTTTCATATAATAGTTTATTATGCTTGTTTGCTTTTTTGATTTCTTCTATTGTCTCTTGATGCAATTTTGTGTTCTTTACCATATGGATTATACCTTTTTTTTTTTTTATACCATAACAACGTTGCATTAACTAGTCCTCTATCAGAATAAATGCAGAGCATACACAGTGCTTACTGTGTTTTAATAGAGTTATTGCTATCCCAATTGTGTCTCTGTATTTGTTAGATGTGTTCTCCTTTCTTACTTTCAAGTTTATGTCTCATTGATTATTTGGTTTATTTTTGCCGTTTGTATTACATTGCAGCCAATCTATTACTGAATCCAGACTATTTCTTTTCGTTCTTCTTTTTATTAAATTCAGGACTGGAATATCTAGGGTTAATGTGTGTTCGGCAAACATAGCCGCCGACACACTCTTCCTACTGAGTGACATCATCTCTCGATCATCCAATTAGAACATTTTGAACTTGGCCAATCAGCTTTCCAGCCTTCATTTTTAAATGCTCGAGTTGGCGGCACCCAGTTCCCCTCTGACGAGCTTTGGCGAAACGCGCGCGTCAGGGGACTCTGGCGCTACTCTATCGCCTTCATTTATCATATTTTTTTCATATTTTGTATCTTCTTCTTTTTTCTGCTGTCTCATTTAGGAGATTACGAGTGGGGGTTAGTCCTGGTGCCCATGAAGGCACATGGGGGGCTCTTAGGTTATAGGACGCTATTTATTCTAACCAGTTTTCTGCTTATTCTTTTTTCTTTCTTTTTTGGCAATTAGTATTATACTTATTTAATATGGCATTACATGTTGTTATTTCTAATACTTTAGCAGGAGCTGTTATCATTATTTAGGCTTTCTGCCAGTACTTTTTTCTGTTGTCATTACTATTTAGCAAACGCTACTATGGACTATCCAGTACTTCACAGCTATTAGTATCTATTACTTGATAACTTTGTATCTATTTGCTAACATCTGTGCTCACTATATATTGCTGACTATTTCAACAACATTAGTTTTGGCGCTGTATGCAGGACGAGACGCTGCATTCCAATTCTGTAGCAATAGTTTTATTACAGCTCAGCCGTGTATTATTAGGACCATCACTGTTCTCTTAGATTTTTATGCAGACATTAGCCGCCTGATATCGGATATCCTCTAGTTAACACTTTATTTACTGTCATCGGGCACTCTATCTTCAGTGTCTCTTTGCATTCTGATTTTTTCCTACGATATAGCTATTCAGCTCTTTTTGTCTATTATCGATCTGGACATACAAATCTCTCTCTTTCACTCATATTCACACATTTTTTTCTAATAATTAGCCCCTTGCAGCTATACCCATATATTTGGATTAGCTCCTTTAGTTACCCTATCATTACTTTAGGCATCCTCTCCTTCGCCCTCCCCCCTTCTCTCCTCTCCTCTTTTTACTCTGCACAGACGTGTGCAATGTAGTATTTTTGCAATCCGAGACACCAGTAATATCCTTTCACTTTGGGATATCGTTTTGTTTGATTTTATTAGCTTATTAGTGTTCCATTCTTTCTTTTTAATATGTACACTTAATAAGGTTATTTGTTATTTTTATTTTACATTTGCTTCATCATAATAGGTACTTTATTTGTACAGTTTATATTTAGTGACAGTTTCCTTTCTTTCTTTGTTCTGTATTGATAGGTACTCTCTCTATTTTCTTTTGACATGCATTATTTACAATGTATATTACTTGGCAAGCTGTTAATATATTTGCAATCGTTTATTTCACCCAGTCGGTATATACAGTGACAATAAAACATATGTGAACACTTTGGAATTATTTGGTTTTCTGCATTGATCATACAATGTCATCTCATTCATTTATAAGTATAGACAAACACAATGTTCTTAACCCATTAAGGACACATGACATGTGTGACATGTCATGATTCCCTTTTATTCCAGGTGTTTGGTCCTTAAGGGGCTAACAACACAAAACAATTATACATCTAGATGTCTTTATTGAACAATCCCATTAAACATTTGCAGTGCTGTGGTAAAAAAGTAAGTGAACATTTGTATTTAATAGCTAGTTAATCCTCCTTTTGCAGCAATAACCTCAACCAAACATTTCCAGTAGCTCCGGAATTAATTCAGGAGGAATTTTGGACTGCTCCTCCTTAAAGAACTGCTTCAGCTGAGCCATATTTTTAGAATGTCTGTTAAGCTAATTTCATAGCATCTTTATGGGATTAAGTTCTGGACTCTAAAAGATGGATTCTCTTTTTTTAACCCATTATGTAGTGGATTTACTTTGATGTTTGGAATCATTGTAATGCTGCATCCCCTAACTTCTAATTTATCCACCCTGATATTATCGTGTTGGATACATTGATAAAATTGAGAATTAAAACTGTGCAGCAAGCCTCTCCTCGGGACCAGGGAGTCTTCTTGTGCTCGGTCACAGCTGCCAGTCGTCAAGTAAGTGCTGGATTTTGGCATTTTTAGGGCTAAAATTAGTAAAGACTGCAGGAGCTGTTCTGGCGTGCGACTGTTCGGCTCGGCAGTTCGGCTCCACCCCCCTAAAATGTTTTTAATATTCCATGTCCCATTTTATTATTCTCTTAACATACTCACACAGAGATTAATAGAGGATCATGTAATTAATTAACTAATGCCTATAAATACAAATTATTCAGATTTTAGTATGCATTAAAATGCTCTTGCAAGCCGAAACATTGTGCTGCCTGTGTTGTCTTCTTGTTTTGTTACAACAAGAAGTGCTGGTTCCCACAGAGAACCTCCTAAATAGATGACCGTCTTTAGGGCAGAACCTGTGTGCAAAAAATCTTGCTGTTTTTTTATGTATAAGAAACCGTGAGTGATAGCTAATTATCAGTGTTGTATATACAATATATGTTGCTGACAGCCTAACATTCATCACAACAATCTTTAGTGTGCCCGAGTAACTCAATAAACAAGCAATATGAGAGTATAACAGAGAACCACAAGAGAAGAACTCACCATACTACACTGTGTTTGAAAGTAAGACAGGGCAGAACCCCATGGCAAACCCAGAGAGATGCGTTTCTCTGAAGGTAATCCTCTACCATACATTTTGGAGTAACTAAGATGCCACCATGCTGTTAAGCCATGTCCACTGTTCTTTGCTGAAGCATTATAAAAATTCTGAAAGATTTG